GCTTGTTATAGCGTTGGACTGATAGAAATAAATAAATAAATAAATAAAAAAGGACAGATATGAAGAGACTCACCATTCGAAGTTAGTGATAAACTGGTAATTGTTATAACAACAAATGCCGATTATGCGCGATAAGAGTTCATCCCTGAACTTGAAATGCAAAACAAAGAAGAAGCCAACTATATAACCAAGGATCGAACCTGTAATGAGATCCTTCGGCAGATTCCACGTGCTCCATGAGTTTCTTGACAATTTCCATAATATTTTTCTTCGATACCATGCCGTACAACAAGTCCAGTGACCTGTAGTGAATGACCAAAACTTTTTAGTGAAGTAAAAAAACACGCATGGATTTGTTATAAAAACAAGTAAGTGCTAATGGAGAGGGTAACAGTAGTAGTAAGGGAAGAATACTAGGTTGCAGTGACCATGCAATATAGCATGTATACCGCTGTATGTGTTTCCGAATTCTGATTTATAAAAGCAAATCGAGTCGTACGAAAATGTGAAGCTGTTCAGTGTGTTAACAAATATGACATGAGGGTTGTATTCTTAATGTATGCATTTATTTGCAACTAGATCGTTTTAAACGATCACCGACTATTTGTAACCCTAGATCACCTAAAAAACATCGACAAAGCTAATTCAGTGGAAAGTTGGTGTGCCACTCACTGAGAGGCGAAGATGGTCTTTTCTATTGTCCTCTTGACCTCAACTGAAAAGCACCTTCATGCCAAATGCGGGATTACGCTATTTTGGCTTGTTCCTTGCATTTCGGATGCAAGAGATTATTGTGATTCATCACGTCAAAGTTTTTTCGATGTAATTCGATTCGATATGTAAGCACTTGCAATCTTTCTCGAGCTCGTTCGAATTCCAGGGTGGAGGAGGGGTCTCCATAGAAGAGGAACAAAATTTGTACACAATACAGGTAAGTACAGATTTTCTGTGTCATCAAAAAATGAAACGGATGGCAGTTTCATTTAGATTATACCACCTACTACTGAAGGGAAAATTATGGAGTCAAGATGAGCCTTTCTCGGGAATCAAGAAGATTAGGTCCCGTCTTGAGATGTAATGAGACTATCGCCGTCTTTATCGCAATGAGACCAGAAGGCTAAGCATTTTCGACATTTGTAGATATCTCCATTGCGCGGAAAGGGGTGAAACCAGCTGGATATCCCCATTGCGCGGAAAGGGGTGAACCAGCTGCTGGTTCAGATTGTTTCGCCACGGACTAGCAAAGCATACTCTGGAAAGGGATTGATGGTGTGAAGGATTTGTTGAGAACGTCGTGCCACAAATGAAAGCTGGAACCAAGTTAAACGAGACATTCATAGAGCAAGTCTTTTTAGGCAATGATTTCATAATTCGACTTATTCCGATAGAAGCGAACTTCATTCAAGGTCGTAAAAGAACAGGACAACTTTCCTTTCAAAAGACCGTTCGAGAAGTTCTTGAAGCTACAGTACGACTGCAGACAGCTAGCGGGAGGTACAGAACAGTACTGCATGCACGGTGAAAGTCACTTT